GGGACTCAAGTCAGGAGACGGGACATTTACATTGAATTTTTAGAACATTTACGTAGAATTTTTTTTAGTGAAAACAATTTTCGGTGCCACGATTACCATGTCCATCCCGATAATCGGTTTCGAGATCCAAAGCTACTATGTTATAGGAACGTATCTGTCCGTAGGGCACAGAATAATGCCGGGTATCCGTTTTCTCCAGTTCTGAGAGCTTGATGTTGAAGACATCACTACTCGGAACTTTCCCGTAGGTTATTTAAAAGCAGTTTGTCTTAACCCGTAAAGAAGTCGGCTGTTTTTGAACATAGATCAAGTACTGAAAGATCGAATTTCGGAAATTTTAAGCATGATTCTTTCGTGGCAGTTTTCCGCGTTCTTTGGTCATCGTCGACCGACAGCCACTTTCATTTTTAAGCGCCATCAATAAGTAGCCGCGCAGAAGTGTTTCGTTTTGCACTTCTTTCCTGCTTCTAAATTTTTCACTCGCAAGAGAAAACCTTCCTTTCAATTAAAAAAGTGTATTGTGCCATAGAAGCGATATGCAAAGATTGCGAAAATTGTAAATCCCCTCCCCCATTTAGTCAGAAAAGTGGACAGGAGAGGAACAAAACTTGGTCAAATAAAAAAACATCTGGAAAATGCCAAGCTGAGTTACAAAGTGAAGAGATGGTTTTTCCGGGCGTTCGATCTTCGTGAAGAGAAACTATAAAGAATCAGAGAAACTATAAAGAATCAAAAACACAATCGAACTAACCTATTGAACAGAATGGCTCCTTCACGTAAAAAACCACTGTTAACACAATTCTGATCAGCATTATCGGGCAAATGTAATTCAGCAGAATCACAATTTTTGAGAGAAGTCGCGATGGCAGCTGTCAAGCAATCGGATATCTGAATTTGAGGATATCACAAATTTGGCTGACCAACTTGCGCACCGCTTGAAAACGCAAAGATTGCTTGTACATAGATACGACGTCAAAAATCACAATCTTCATTATTCCCTTCGCTGGGAGACCGAGGTTCTCGGGAGGGGCCCGAGCAAATGGCAAGTGCCGGAACAAAACTGTACATTGGCAAGTTGTCAATGGTCCTCTTTTTGATGGTATACTTAGAAATAAGCTAATGTCCAGATGAGTTCCCTGGCAAATTATAATAGAAATTTACCATCGAAAAGAAAGGACTAATTATATGGAGACTATCTCTGCTACAGGAGAAATCGAACCCGGAGAAACTGGATTTTAGGCTCAATTTCCCTCATTTTATCCTTATTTAGCGAAAGATTTTCCTGCATTGAG